ACTTGCTTTGGAAGTAAGAGATGCGACAGTGGCAGACAAGCTACACATAAACATATTCCTTGTGGAAAAGAGGTCATCAGAAAGCTTGGTTTTAAATTTCAGTGGAACATCAAAACCAAGGTTTTAAACGTAGAATATCTGTGCTCTGTTAAATGATGGGAGTTTTTGAAAAGAAAAGGCTGACATGAAGTAAGTCCCTCCAAACTACAAGCCTGCAGTGCTTAACAGCTTGATCTTTACGAGAACATCATTTAGGATTCTTACAAGCACTTAGCTTTAACTTAATCTTAGATTACTGACACGTAAAGCAAAGAAGATGAGCTAAGTAAAGCAAGACACTATACAAAAAATGATACAAAATGATGTGTTAATAACGGACTAACACTCCGATCAAGAAGTCCTGGTTATACCACGAGCAGAGTACGTTACAACACACCAGGTGATTCGGTTTTACCATTACGATGAGATTTGTAACACACAACAACAGAGGGATTTTGGTATTTCTTCTTACTCTATGCCACCAGAGGAACCAAAGCTCCCACCTACTCTGAAGGTGCATGGATGCATCGCTTCCCTGTTTTTAATAAAACCAGATGGATAACAAATCCCAGCTGTTTGCTCAGACAGTCTGTACAAGTTCAGCCTAAATAAACGTCTTTATAACTACAGCTAAAAACAAAACATGAGGAAAAGAACCACACCGACAACTAGCAGGAACTATCGCACTTCAGCGCTGGCTGTAAGCAAGAAGCCGGCTTGTTATCGAGGCCAATAATTAGCCAATAATTAGGCTGCCAGGTGTGTGTGCAGGCTCCTGCTCTGACAGCCGGGGCTCTGTCGGGCACGGCCGAACCTCGCCGTGAAAACCAACGCGGGGCTGGAAGATACATAAACCGACAAATTAACTGGATTGCTGATAAATCACACTGGTTAGTGATGGGAGCTGTTATGGCACGCTGGGTTTGGGGTTTATTTCCCAGATCTTGCGAGGCCACTTGGAAGAAGCCAAGCTGACATTTCCCTCACAGTAAAACCCCAAGGAAGGGGCTGAGGGACCTCCCTCAGGGAGGCACCCGGGCTGCCTTGGGAACAACGCCAGGAAACCGGGGGTGAAAAAAATCAGCGAACAAAACCACCGGGGCTGCACCCCCTCCTCTCCCTCAGCCAGCCCCGGGGACCCCCCCAGGGCGTCGCCGTGGCCGTCGCCGTCCCCTCCCTGCCTCCTTCCCCTCCCCTCAGCTCCCCCCCGGCTCCCCCCTCAGCCCCGCCGGGCGCCTCACCGCTGGGGGCCCGGCAGCGCGGCAGGCGGCGGGCCGGCCGGCCGCAGGCGCGGAGCAGCACGGACGCCATCTTGGCGGCGGCGGCCTAGCGGCGGGCTGCCGGCCTGCTCATGGCCGCCCCCGGGGCGGCTGCCTCCCGCCCCTGTCGGCGGAGGAGCGGGGCACGCCGGGAAATGTAGTCCTCGGCACGGTAAGGCGCTGGGGAGGGACGGGGGTTGTAGTTCCTCGGGACTACAAGGGAAGGGTGTCGCGGTGCGTGCTGGGAGATGTAGTCCGGCATCAGGCAGCAGCGCCGGGGGAGTTTGGATGGGGGGGGGGGAGGGGAGGGTGGATTTGGGATCCCTGAGCCGCCCCCGGGATCTTGTGGCTCCACAAGGCTGCGGTGCCCTGAGGGGATAGCAGCAGGTCACGGAGCAGCGGTGTGACAGAGCCGGGGCCGCCGCGGGGTTCAGCCCCCGGGCTCTCTTTACCCCAGCCCAGAGCTCACAGGGCCGGTAGCTGGCTCGTTTGGGGCCAAAAACCGGCTTTTTGGGTAGCGTCAAGTGCTGCTTGGCAGCATGTGTGCGTGTATCTCAGGACGTGATGGAAAAAAAAACACCTTTTTTTTTTTCTTCCTGGAGCTTTACAAATGTATTTTTTATTAAAATTGTACATAAAGCAGTCAATCAGCCCACATCGTTTGCTAATTAATCCTCATTAATAGTTGTTGGGCTGCTGTAGCGTGTTACTGTGCAAATATCCACCTATTCCTGAGCAGCGTTAGCATCTGCTATCAAATATTCAATAGGTACTTTTCTACAGCATTAACCACTGCCATTCGTTTTGCTGAGGTTTTAGTCATACAGACATTACAGACATGGAAAACAACCAGGATTGAACCGCAGAAATTATAATTCCATCCGAGAATAATGAAATTGTGAAAATTAGGAATACGTGGTTTGGGTGGTAATGGCTTCCTTGTTCTAAAAAAAAAAAAAATGGGGGAAAAGCTGCTGTGTTTTTTCAACAAGATGGCTGACACCCACTGCCAACAAGATGGCTGCCTCAAGGACAGGTCTCCAAAAACACAAAGATAACGCTTCTTTACCCCTCTTAAATTTCACAAGTTACTTACAACGCTGGGAAGTTGTTCACCTACACGCCCACATAAGCCCCAAAAGAATATAGGTGCTCTTTTACTCTATCTGTAAAGGGTGGCAGAATCCCCAGGTTTGACCCAAAATACAACCGACTGAAAACAGCGTCTTATACAGGAGAGGAAAGCAGATGTGTCTGAAGTCACCCTTTCATGCTTGAGTCTTGGAAAATGCAGGAAATTAATTATTATTTTAAGTTCTTTTATGTATTTAAAGAAAATCTTCAGGGTTTCTCCTAAGCATGAACAATTCAGATTAAATTTATACTATTTATATTTTTCATTAAGTAGAGTATCTGAGGATGGAATTTTCAATTGACCAAATATTCAAATGAATCTAGATACCCTTTTCTCACTTATCTTTTGATTGGTTACAAAAATACTACTTTCGTTTAGTGACAATTAAAATTTTAATTGGTATTATTATTTATGTACTTATTATCAGAACTGCTTTTAAAATGTTAGGCTCCCAAATGTATTGCAAGATTTTTAGACAGCTGTGTGTGCTGTACAAGTATTTAACTGTATAGTGCATTTAAATGGTTAATATTATTTAAAATGTCTAATATAACAATAGTGCTTTATATTAGTACAGCAATCTTTAAAAAAAAAAAAACAAAACACTTCCCAATCTACACATTTCTCTCACTAGACTGGGTTTGTAGCCTTCTCTTGTTACTCTTTTTTTCTTTCTGGTTGGCTGATAACTAAACTAAATGAAATGGGGCAACTAATGGCAGTTCCTTTAACAAAGCTGCTTAATTATGTAGAAACATTATATGAAGTCTATACAAGAAGAAAAATATGCTCTGAAGTCATTAAAGTATTGACAAGAGATTTCAGACAGCAAACAGATGATTATGGCGGGCTCAATACACTTATGCAGACAAGGAATGAGACTTTCAATAGTTTCATTAATTTCAATAGTATTCAGCATGCCAGATGATGTACACGCAACCCTTTTCAGAACTGAATCAGTTATGTTTTTGTACAGCTTTTTGTTCCAGGTTTGTTTATACCTGGAAGTTACATGGGTTTCTTCCATGTACGAAAAGGAATGATAATACACTGTGAAAATTTCCCGAACAGATGCAGTTTCGAAACACTAATTGATTTTGTGCACTTACCAACTATTGGGAAATAAAGCTTAAGAAAGAAATTAAGTATTAATAATTTACAAGTAGTTACACGAATTGTTCCCATATGACAAGACCTAATGATTGTATGTTATATATGGGCCTTCCATGCAAGTCATATTTTGCTTTTAAAAAAAATATCTTTCAGTCTGTTCAGACCAACAGTATAGGAGTTCACAACAAAAACACTCATACCCAGAATAAGATGTGATACACATAGTTGCTAGAGTTTTATTTTGAAAAAAAACTTAAGCTGCTACAGCCATTTTAGACATGATTCTTAAAGCAACCATGTTGTTTGGAAAAACTGTCAGCCATCTTGTTGAAAATGATATGTTTTGTAGCAGGAATAGGGTGAGAGACTAAACAGAAGAAATGCAAATCCTTCCTTCTAGCTGGATTTAATAAGGATCTGAGAATGATGCAAATTAATGCAGTATTTAAACAAAATTAAGGTTATTATTTCATATTAAACATCAACTTTTTCCCACAAATGTTAAATATCAGCAAGAGCAAGGTGAGAGCTGTCTAAACAATTACAAAACAAACTGCAAATAACAGGAAACCATGGTGCCTGTTATAGTTTATGGGACCACCAAAACATGTACTTTACTGATGATATTTGAGCACAACCCAGTAATATGAAAAAAAAAAAAAAAGGAAGAATATTTTGTTTGTCTAAAGAGGTATGTGCATAAGATCTCTAAAAGCAAAGATTATGCCTGACTCTGTGCATTACTTTCATAGACTGGAAAATGGAGCAGACGAACTTACAATTCCTTTTAAAGAAGTTTAGAGATCAGTCTGGAAATTGGGGAACAAATGTGTATATGAACAAAGAACAGAACTGTAAGGTAATTAGCTACATATGCAGTTTGCTCTTCCAGAAATCCTGTATTTCATAGCACGACAGATTCCCCATAGCAAACAGTTACATGAAATTCTAATTGCTATTGTCCCTTACTCCTTCCCTCTTCACCATCTATTAAGCTCTAGCGTGTGATATGCAGATGCATATGGGGTGTGGGATTCCCCTGGGGCCTGCCAAAAATACCTACACAGTTGGAGGTGACATCTCTCCATGTTCACCACGTTTGTCACCCCTTCCCTGAGGACATGTCCCAGGATGCCCTTCCTGGATCCTGCGGATATTTTTGGAGGGTGGTTAGCAGGACTGTCACTCCCAGCTTCAGATGCACAGCTAGTTGTCCTATAGCTCGTGAAAGGGGCTGTGTAGCAATGCCAAATCTATGGTGGGACCACATTAATTTCACACACATGGCTTCGGTTCCCCATTGCACCCGAGTGACAAGCCAAGCTGGCAGCAAGGCACTGGGGACGTAAGACTTGGTGCATGAAGGGGAAGGAGGTGCGCAATATGTGATGCCCTGGGCTGGAAATGGGAGGAGGTGGGAGCATAATCAGCATTTGATGGGATGAAAGACAGGATTGCTATTTCTCTGCTGCAGCACCGTGTATGTTTACACAGTGTGACTATAAGCTGTGTAGCAGTACAGGTCCATATACAGTATTTAAAAGTAGGGTTAAGCTTTTAGTGTGCAGAACCTGTTTCTATGGCAATCACCAGGTTGTCTCCTTGAATAGATTCAACAATATGGGATCAACCTCATCTTTATTCACCACTGTTCAGCATAAATATAGGAAAAAAAAAAAAAAAAAAAGAAAAAAAAAAGGCATTACTGTGTGGGAAGTTACACTGAGTTACTTGTGGGAGTTACACTTGTGGGAGAAACCCAACAGATTATTGGTAGTTCTTGAAAAATACTCCCATTCATAATCACAGATATTTTGGAGAGACTCCCAGGATACAAAGCCTGTTGCTCTGTGAATGTTAAAGCCCAAAGGTAAAAGTTCAAGTGGTAGCTGGATTACAGACTTGCTCTCTATGTATGTCCAGGTCACAAGTTCGCTCCTGTGTGTAATGTGCCAAAAAAACAGCAGCAGTGGCTACACATCAGCAGCAGCACAGAAACAGCCCGGGCTGGGTGCCTTTGTGAACAACGCGGTTAGAAGCACCTCGGAGATTTCCGTGACGCTAATAATGTGCTGTAAACGGTCACTCCGGATCCAAGGATAATTACCTGCTCAAATTCCAGTCAGAAAGGTGTATTTTAGAATATTTGACCCAAATTGGCCTGATATTATGACAGATTGGGTCGTCATTAATTAAATTTGACACGTGCATGCAGACAAGGAGAACACGGCTGGGAGAACACAAACAGGGTACGATGGCTTTTCCAATTGAGGAAAAGGTAGCATTTGCAGTTCATAGCAAAAAGACATACAGATACTAGTTTTAACCAGCAGATGGAGCTTACGTGAAACAAACAAGCGGAAAAGATGCATAATCATTGCACAAAGCAGTGTTTTGGGGCGCTGCAGTCTACAGGAGTGGGGGAGGACATGGGGAAAAAGCTAGAAGGTTCTGGCCAGGGCAGGAGCAAGCAGAGGAGGGAGGGCAGACAGGGCTAAGGCTATTGGCATAGCAAAAAAGAAAGAATGAAACAATAATGAGTAAACTGATTTAGACCTCCAAAAATATGGAGGGAAAAAAAAAAAAAAAAAGACAACAAAAGGAGTCTCCAGTGTTAAAAATGCACCTGTTAATGCCAGCTGATATGAGAAAGTCCAGGATTTTGCTGCAATATTAACAATGCTGTATTTAAAATAACCTATTAGGCCTCCCAAGTCATCAATTTGATTTTATGAATGACAAGCTTTAAAAATATGCATTTGGAGTTATTCTTTGCCTTCCTTTTTTTTTTTTTTTTTTTTTTTTTTCCGAGTCTGCAGGGTTTGCAAGTTCCTGTCTGCAATTAGAAACACAGAAAGCTGACAATCTTGTGCCATCATCTGCCTCTCAGAGTTAGGTCTTTAAGAAAACACCAAATGTTGTGTTACTGTCAATAAAAGCCTGAAATCTGCTACCTCTGCTTTCATAAACCCATCAAGAAATGAGACAAGAAAAGCCTGCAGCCACAGAACCCACCCCCCAGCCCCATCCCGGATTTAGTAGACCTGATCTTGCACTCCTTATGGATCTTAAAACTCCTGGTGAAGTCAGACCGTATGAATGGAGTGCTGGAAGAATACGAGGGTCCCACAAGCCAGATACCTTCCAGGCTGTGTCCGTTAAAGAAACAGGAGAAGGTCCCCACACCTTTTTAGGAAAAACTTTCTCTCTGTATTCTGAAAGACGGGGAGAAAAATGGGCTACTTCCACGGGCTATTTTAGTGGCAATAACATAACTTTCTTTAGCAATTTGGCAATGCCGAGGCTGCTTGTGATAAGCGCAAGTTTAGAGGGGGAGAGGATTACAGCCAGCACATGCACACAGCTGTATGACTGGGTAGCAGGCAAAATGCTATGTCCCGTTGTCCTCCAGGCATTGTCTGCCTCAAAGGAGGGAAGAACTAAGCGTGTCTTTTAAAAGAACGAGTAAGAAAGATATTGAAGATGGAAAGGTTGATTTGCTGAAGCCTGATGCTTAAAATTCCTGTGCAGAATTTAGCCCTCTTGGGCCTCAGCTATTGTTACCTCTTGCTGTTTTTGCTGATCATATCAGTCCTGGCCCATATATTTTTTCCTAACAGCCAGCCTGAACGACCCCACCAGAATATGTCTTTCTAACCTTTGAATCGCTCTCTCTTGTTTACCTTCTCTGGTTTAAACTCGCTACCTTACATAATCCAGACCAAGGCTGTAACACAGATCTCACACTTTTTTATCCTGTTCTCCTTGACCTGACTAACACTCCCATCTTCTGTGCTGCCATACAATGACCTCCCCATTCCAGCATGCAAGCCCACAGCCCCTCCTTTATTCAAGTCAAAGAGCTGCTTTTCTCAAGAGGCCTCCCCACAGAGATAATGAAAAGCAGATTAAGAGATTTAAAAAAAGGAGTTGGTTCCTTTGGAATGGTCAGTGCGCTTTCCCTTTCTACAACCGTCCTCTAATACTGTAAATTTTCTAAATCAGTGTTTGTCTGGATGTCTGTGCCTTGACCTCAGCAGGACCTGAGCTGTTGGGCCCCAATCCCACGCATGCATATGTATGCCATGTCCCTTTGCTGGTAGTGACATTAACAGGCACAAAGTGGTGAAGGAACATGCGCAGTTAGGCATTCGTAGGATCAAATCGTGACGCTTGCCAGATAATATCATAAAAGTGGTGGAAAGGGCTGAAAATACACTTTTTACAAAATCTTGGTTCTTATGATACAGAAAAAAAAAAAAAAAAATATGATAACTTCCAAGGCAAGTGAAGGCGCAGCTCTACTGACAACACTGGGTTTGGACTGATATGTGTAGGTATCTCAGAATCTTGAGGGGAAATACCTGGTAAAATGTGATGTGAAGCAACAGAAAAATAACAAAGAGCCATCGAGCACTAGTACATGCCAGTGGTGCTTTGCCAGTATCCTGCTTTTTTTCCTATGTGGCTGAATTTCAGGCATCAGAAACAGAAGACGCTTTGTCTGGGTTTTCCCATGTAATCAGCAACCTCTCTCCTGTGTCTTAGGCCTCTATTCACTTTACTGCTATTATAGTGTCCCCTAGAGACACTTCGGAGGCATTCGCCCCCAAATGTCCTGTTACCTTAAAGCAGTTAGTTTTTTTTTCTCTCTCAGTAACGCGTTAGATGCTTTAATCCTGGTTATGTGGCTGCGCGAAGCTGGCTAGCAAGTTGTATCCGTGTATAAGAAAATACAAAGTTGACCTAAAAGAGCGTTACTGTTGGATTTCAACAGTATCCAGGGGAAGTAAAGTCCCTGAACTGGGCACTCTCCTCTGAAAGCAACTTCAGGAGGGAGCTTTGTGTAAGAACTGAAGGCGCAGCTGGGGGCTGCAAATATCTAGCGGTTCATCAGCTGTGCTGTACGGCGAGAGGGACTGGCTGGGCTAATCTGAGCAACAGGTAAAAGTAAGCCATCCAGGCTGCTTTTCAGTCAGGATGACAAGCCCCACGCTCACTCCGGCACGATACATATCTCTCATTTTCCTTTTTTATCACTAATCCAACAGATGAAAGAGGAAATACACCCAACAGATATCAACAAAAAAGACTCCGTTCCCCTTTGGCTCAGGCAACAGTGCTTTCTTGTCATGCTAAGGGAACAACCTCCTCCCCTTTCCGAGGCCTCTCCTCCCAAGGAACAGACATCTAACTCTCTCTGAGCTGGAAGCCTCTTTCAGTGTGCCAGCTGGGAATCAAGGCCCTGGGCTCAATCCCAGCACCTGTGCCTAGTTTTCTTACAGAGCCCGGCCAGCTGCTCTGCCAGGTCCATAAATGTCCTGTGCACCCTATTTCTTTTCCTTTCTGTCTGTTGTTTTGGATTAGAAATGTAAATGTGTTGCTTATATTTGGATTTTTTTTTTCAAATCTGCTTCTTTAAAATTACCTTCACCTGGTTTGTGCTACAGGTCATATCAGGGTGCTGACAAACGGAGCTGTGCCATGATTTTCGCAATCCTCAGACCAAGGTTGTTGAACTACTCCAGTAGTGCCCTGTGCTATTTCTGATGGAATTTGAAGGTGAGCGGGATTTAAGCGCGGGCCACTTGGGGAACTAGTCACAGGGCATTCGAGAGGAAGAAGTGTTTTTGATGGCTGGTGTTTGTCAGAGAACTTTTCTGGCACTAGGCATGGTAGCAGAGAGTGTTGTTGACCCTGAGGGTTCACAGGCATTAGATAATTGCTTTGGCTCTGACTTCGTTCACAGCGTGTTAGACCAGTCATTTCTATCTGTGACACCGGCCTATCGACTGCAGGCTTCCTGTGTTTCTTTCTTTCAGTGTGTGGAAATAATTATGCATCTTTTCTGAGTTTGCATTATGTACTTATTTACCCAACAGCTCTTATGGAGAGAGGCAAGGTTAGAGCAGAGAGAGGACTGTTGTCAGTGCTAATAGCTTAATTCTGAAAAGCCCTCATGTCATTCAAAAATCCTGGCATAAACAGGGACCAGACTGGGACTTGAACGCTGTGCCGCAACAGGAGGGAGATACACAGAGGTCTGGAAAATAATGAAGGTGGGAGGAAAGTGAATAGAAGATGGTTATTATCACGGCTCGTAATACCATATTAATGCAGTCTGTCAGGGAGCAGGGCTTAAAAAGAACAGAAGGAAATATATTTTCATATTAACTTCTTGCCACAGGATGCTCTGAAACCCCAAAGTATAAATAAATAGGTTCAGAAAGAAAACAGACAAATTCATGGGAGGTAGGCTCAACAATGTCTCTGACACATGCTCGTCTGCTACAACATCTGGTTCAGGACGTCCCTAAACTACTGATTTTCATTCCTCTTACAACCAGGGAAGGGCTACTTTTCCTATGCCCTGTTCCCAATTCTAAGCATCTGTTACTACTTTCCTTCTTGGTTTTCCTTGAGGAAAGGACACACCAGACCCTGCTTTTAAAAGCCTTTTCCATTCTGCAAATAAAGAGAGGTGTGAATAAGAGACCGCACGTGATTACCCATGGACAGCTAATGAAAACCGGAGGACCTGATGGATAAATCACATCTAAGAAGGTGTCTGAGGTGCACTGAAGGGTCAACGTTGGTGGGTCTCAAGCCAGTTGGCTTCAGGCATGCATGGCTGGCCCCGTGCTGGGGGGCCGTGACAGCTCAGTTAGCCCCAGAGCATTGCTGCCAGCCTTCACTCCAGGCATTGCCATCACCAAGAGAACAAAGAGGTTAAGAGAGACGGGGATTTTTTTGAACAAAGGTGCAATGAAAGCCAGGCCAGAAGGGGGAAGGATTTCAATCCAGTTGACGACTTACGGAGAACTTTGCACCATGAAACTGTACCGGGGTAGGGAACTCGCATCTTCTTTGGCTTTCATACCACAGTGCTTCCTCCCTCCAGATCTTGACAAAGTCCAACTTCTGCCACGAGCTGCCTGGAAACAAACTACCGTGCATCTCCCTCTAGTGGGTAGTGACCTATGAAAAAGCCATGACGACACATACGTTAGAAATTTGCCTCATATTTGCTTCCCATTATCTCCTTCCTTCAATTGCCATCTTCTTCTTTGCCCCGTGATTTTTTCTCAAATCCATTTTGTTTTTTCTGATACCCTCTAAATATCATGTCTGCTCTTCCTCTCTTCTTGTGCTGTGCAAGGAGCTGGGCTGTTTGAGAGTTTTCTATTTGACTTTCATAGAAGTGGAAGTGAAAGTAAAGAAGCTGCCCAAGAATGAATTTTAAATGAAATATTCTAGAAATATTTTGTGTTTGCACAGAGGCACGTGTGTAGACCCCAGTACTCCAGAGACTTGGGAAACTGGGAAAAAGGAAACCCCAAGACCTGAGGTTTATCATTGATTTTTTTTTATCTCAAGTCAGTCAAAAGAAATTTACAGTTGGGTTTTCTTATCCTTAAAATTGATTTATTTGGGTGGAAACTCTGCTGCATTCTGCTTAATAGGTTGTTTGCTTAGAATTTGTTGTTCCATTACCAAAAATATTAACAGCAAAATACATAAGCCAGCTGTGTTATATCTAAAGTTAGCTCTCTAACAGCAACAGTTAACTACCAAAGAGTATTCCCAGAGCAGAGCTGACATTAATTGAGAAAGATAGCGCTCTCAAATATGTCGAGGCAAGATGCTATAGAAATTGATTTAACCAGAGCATGCCTTTTGTCTATGGAACTGCATTCTTCTCCTTTGCAGAGCATATAGGCTAAATACTCTTGCCGTTGCTCCGTTGAGATTAATGAAAATATATTAGAAATGAATCTCAAAGGTGTTTCCTTTCTCTGACTACTCTGAATTTTTGTCTGTTTAAGCACATTTCAAAAGGCAAGATGAACAAGCCAATATTCTCCAAATAGAAAATGACAGATCTGGCTGGGAGAGATTTTTGTGTCAGGCTTTGATAAGAATACATTACTCCAGTGGCAGCAGGCTTCATATTAATCATTATCTGCTATCTTTCTGTTTAAAACTTTGAATTGTCTAAATAAACCAACAGGAAAGACATTTTGCTCCAATGCAAGTATTTTCCCAGATTCCTGGGTGCACTGACCTTCTTCTCAATTTGGTGTGGTAGTGGCATTCCTCAAAAGTTAATAATTAGAACCCCAAAAGAATCTTTATTAAGGCAAACACAAGAATCACTGAGTGACAATAAACTGGAATTTAACTGAAAAAAATTAACATCACCGATCATTTCTTCTGAGCAATTTGTGCCCTTACTAATATCTATGCAATCCATATGGTTACATTATTTTATGAAAGCATCATACAAAAATAATTTCACCATGTAGCATAACAGGATTGTCAACAGTGTCACTTTACTTACGTGGATAAAATAATATTATAGTTTTTGCTCCCTTTATAACTGAGATGTCAACATAACTAATGCCATTTCACTGTTAAAAAAAAAAAAAAAAAAAAAAAGATGAATTCCAGTCCTTCTCCTCTATCAGTAACAACACATTTTCATTCAGCTGAGACATTTCATAAACCTGTTGAAGGTAAGAATTACAGATACTGCTGAGAGAGGATGTGAAGGCAGAGAGAAGGTACTGCAGAAGAAATTCACAGATTTTGTTTCCAGAGCTTTATTTGCATTGATATACAGGAAAGAAAGCAAGCAATGACTATCAGCTTTCAAGATGAGCTTGTAGTTCTGACAGTAAGAAAATGTTCCTTTGCTTCCAAATTGAGTACATTTGTTCTGGAATTTATTAAGACATTGTAAACAAAGAAACTTACTGTGCCACATCCTGTTCTTTATTTAGGGTGGATGAGGGCTTCACTGGGCATTATGGAAACTAGAACAACTGCACCAGGCTAGACCAAAGGCGTGTTTCCCTTTATCCAACCTCTGATCATAGCCAGCAACGAGTGCTTAGGGAAGGAGTACGAGAAATAGGGCAAGCACAGAGTGTCGCTGCCATTAGCCTCCTCCGCCTGCAGCAGTGGCTGTTGTATTTCATTGCTGCTGATAAACACAGAAGGTAGTCTAGTGGTCTGTGCACAGAGCTGGGAGCTATGAATGCGTGTTTCAGTCTTGCCTCTGTCACCAAGGTTACTTGTATATTGCTGTGTCCCAGCTCACGTGCACGTGTGCTTGTGGCAAACCTGTCTTCAAGCCTCCGCACTGCAGAGGCACGCGCAACCCACGCTTGTGTACCCACGCTCACATTCATGCCGCAGTTGGCCAGATCTGGTATTACCGTTTGGAGAGATTTGTGCCTCTCTAATGAGCTGCTTAACATCTGCCATTGTTTCCTGAAAAGCTGCATAATATCCCGGTGCACTTCTTATTGTGCCCCTTTCACTCTTCCCCACTCCTTCTGGTTCGTCTGTTTTTCATTTGGTTATCACCACCAGCCTCTCTGGTCCTTGTGCTTTGTCTTAAGCTTGTCATCCCTCAGCTCTTGTGCTCCGGAAGGGCAGGCTCAGAGGAGTGTAAAAACTCTGCAAACGTTTTCCATGGGCTGCTTAGTCCTAGTCAATCTATCAAGTAGTGTGGAGAGGCTGACTCTTTCAATGTCCCTGTTGAAGCTGCTGATAAAATGGTGATGCTGTTAGATTTCCAGCACAACCGGAAAGCTAATGTTAAAGACATCTCCTTAAAAAAATCCTGATAAAAATTTTAAAAAACACACTCCACCATCCTTCAGGACTGCCCAGAGTTCCCAGCACTATGAGATCATTCCCGAACAGATCCTCAGAAACTGAATCCATCAGCTGCTGGTCCACCTGCCTCAACATCACAGTGTTACTGAAACTCTGCTGTCCCCTCCAGTGCAACCATTGTCCCACCTCCCATGGTCTACTTAAACTGTCCTTCCAGAAATACAACATGGAAGACTGCAAGCTCCACACTGAAGGCACTGCTCAGAATATCATGATGTATGCAGGTAGATGGGGAGCTGCCAAAATTACTGTTTCCATCTTTAACCTTGCAGTGGAGAGCCTTTAGCACTTTGGGTGCGCTATTTGCCCTATTTAGCCTTTGGGCAAGCTCTCACTTCTGCAAGCTGATTCCAGCTGGCTGGATCAAAGGACAGTTTGGAGGTATTTCTCCCCAAATGCTGATCCTCCCAGCTGCTTGCACCTCAGCTTAAGCAGAACCCTGGAGAGCTCCTCCTCCTCCTGCGGCCTCCAGCTGAGTGTCTGTGCAGGGCAGGGGGCACGGAGGCTGGAGTAAGGCACACACAGATCAGAGGTGGCTAAACCAGGGAGAAACTGGTGGGAAGAGCAGTCAGTGAAAAGAAAATAAGCTAGCAGACAAGCTCTGGTATATTGGCATGTCAGTGGAGGGCTGTGTATAGCAAATGAATAAATGCAGATGCACATGTTTTAGCTATTTCCCCAGGGTGAAGTGAGTAGGAGTGCGATCAAGGAGTAATATTTGCTTCACACTGTCCTGCGAGCACAGCTTCAGTATACACATTAGCAAGTATTTATAGGTTGCGTGTCTGGATGATGGAGGAATTTAGACAACAACCTGAGCAATCAGCAGCATAACACAAAATCCCAACAGTCTGATCCCAATCCCAAATTCCTTATTTCTGTGTTACAATTCCACAAGCAATTAAAATGGCTTCTTAGCTGCTATATTATTATAAATAATTTGTCAAGTACTTAACGTATGGGAAGTGGTGTTAATTGTTAGGTATTACTACCCAGGTAAAAATTATACCCCAGTGTTAGGAAGGCACAGCAATATACCATTAACTTGTTTAATATGCCAGCACTGAAAGAGTGATACGTTTTCCTTTTACATTTCTACTACAAGAGCTTTGTTATTACTTTGATCATTTAAATTCTTTCCGCAATAAAGGTGATTCAATGATTTTACAAAGCAAGCTCATCTCTAGAATGTTATAATTTGACAATTTCAAGGCATTTCAACACAGACCCTTGTACAGATGTCATATATCGCATTGCAGATTTCATCCAATAGCAGAAAATGTACTCTGAATGCAATATCATCTTATCAGTATTCTAGCACCATAAGCCCTCTCACTGCAAGCAGGGTACTGTTCATTACAATGAAACTGAAAATGGAATAACTGAAGGATTGATTTATATGACCTTCACTCGGGAATGTTCTAATTCTGACATAATCTCTGACTGAAATCCTTAACACTGTATAATTTTGATGTATTAGCCTTTAAAAAAAAAAAAAAAAAAAAAAAAAGCCGAGATCTATAGATCAACAGAATACCTAGCATGAAAAAGAGTGGTGCAACAGCTCAGGAAGACTGCACGAAAATGCAGATTGATCACATGACTTCACTCCAAACATTGTCTCAGCCAGCAAATCCAAGAACAGGGCTGAAAGCGAGTGGAAAAACATTATGCGGATGTTTTCACAAATCCACTCTGTCACTCAGAAATCTCTCCAGATTACATATGTTTTTATAGCAAGGATAAGAGCATCTTAATAAGTAAAAGGATGAACCAATCTGTTTACTGAAAGTTGCAGGAAATGTTTAGTAAACAGCTCATTTATGGTGAAGCGTCCAGATCCTGATTCCCGATACACTGCACAAAAGGCTGAAAAACTGCTTTACCAGGCAGCTCTGCCTTACTCCCTCACCAGCTGAATAACCTATTTTATGCTATTCTGTCCTAACATCAGCTTGGCACAGGGACCTGGGGAAGGCTTTTCCATGGTGCGAGGGTATGTTGGACCCATCTGATTGCTAGCAGGTGAGAGCTAGGACGGCCCTGCAGCGTGCTTCTTCAGAATAACAGCTGCTACCTGTAAAGCAAAGTGGCTGGATTTAGACCAAAGTAGAACTATTGGATTGAGAGGTGAATCAGGATGGATCTGTTACTTGGGTTTCTTTTGAGAGAGATAAAGAGAACAATGAGGAGAAGGGACAAAAACTTTCATTGGACAATACAAGTAAATGAATACAGCTTTAGTATCTTACAGAATTAAAAGCAATATGCCACTTAATTTTAAGCAAACTAAAATACAGAAATCTGCCCCCCCACACCCCGTCCATGTTTTTTTCCTGTTCTTAGTGTGCAGTGAAATGAATGCTTGCCTCTTTCCCTCCCACACACTCAGCTCGCAGTTCCCACTTAGCCACTTCCCAGTCCTGTTTTGGACAAATCTTTATCTTATCAGGCTTCTCTTGCAAATCCTTCTTCTCTAGAAGCACTTAACATCCTCCTCGTTCACAAATTCTACCTTTTACAAGTGGTGCCTAATCAATCTTACTTTCTCCTGTCTGGAAAGTGGAGGGTTTTATTTTAGAAAGAATTCTTTTTATTCAGTGCATTCATGACTGCTATGAATACTTGGGTTAATTCTCGCCGATGGTAGTCTCCCCGATGCAGGAACATTGTCTGCTTCAGTGTATTGCACAATGCTGATCCAAGCATATTATTCTCACCTATGAATGGGCCTGTTCCTTATTACTCCCAAAGATCAAACATTGCACAATCCCTCCAGTATTAGTCGCTTATGGATAGTCCGAGCTACAGCTACTGCAGGCACTGCAAAAGCACTACAGCCTGAAAGAGATTATTCCTTCCTTCCTGTATACGTTAGAGTGGATACACCAGGAACTAAAATTGTGCTTAGGGCATAGCAGGAAGTGCCTGACCCTTTTTATGTATTTGTAGAAAGAAAAATGAAAAGGAAAAAAAACAAAAACCTTAGGGGAAATTAAATTTAGGACATTTGTTCCCTTTAGCTATATGGACACAGTTTTCATGAACAATAAAGTAAATTATTTATATCAAAAACCATTTTCTACTAAAACATGAAGACCTATTAGCAGCAGACGAAAGAGAAAAGTGCATATTATTTTTATAAGCAGTTAGCACTGTAATTGTTTATGCTGCACATCAACATATATGAATACAATACAGACAAAATCTGATTCCTTGAACTAGAGAATTTAATGTAAAGCCCAGTACCACAAACCAGTCCTGGCGTGCTTGACTTTCAGTATGAGTTGTTTATTGAATTCTTAAATGAATGTATTTATCGGTAGGAAAATCAAAACAGCAGAGGAAGTAATATAGTCTTAGATTTCCCAATGGTGAATTCATTAGCGGAGTCAATTCTGAAGTCAGCCTGCCATCTTATCCACCAGACAACACTCACTTTCCAACGTAATGACAGATGATCATAAAAGCTTAATAGTGTTTTGCAGTGCTGGTAGAGCAAATAAGGATGGGAGCGAAGAAGATCATGGCATCGTTGTCTGACCAATGGCAAACCATTAAGTATCAGAGATTAAGAACTCGACTTTATTAGGATGATTAGCATCACCCTCAACAACTATAAAAAGCTCTCAGTCAAACGGTTCTGACTCACTTGTTGAAGGGTGCTAGCATCTGCAGAGGAAATTCTGGGTATGGGCTGTCACCAGCGGCTAATCCGTCTGGAACAGGTGCACAGGGCTTTGCCAGCACCACTTCACTGCAGGGCCAGGAGCCAGGGGATGCAGCGCATAAAAGGGATGCCCACTTGGAAAAGGGGTTGAACAAAACAAGAAGGGACGTTGCCCCTCTTGGCATCTCTTCTGAGTGGTTTCCGCTGGCAAAGTTATGGTGACTTAGTAGAATTTGGAAGCCTTTCTCCCCTCAGCGCACGTCAGTGGTAATATCCTGCTTGTCCTTCCCTGAGATCAAGTTCTCCGTGGCCACAGCAGCAACTCTTGGTTTACATACTTTTGCAGCTAGTATGCTTATGGTTGTAAACTCAACCCATTTTCTATAATCTGGTGACTGTTAATATTTAAAAATATCACGAGATTGAATAAGGAACAGATCAACCTAACCTAAGATCAAAGAACGTTTATTGAGCCCTTTCAGGACAGAAGACAGAAATATTGCAAAATTGACTTTCAAATGAACAAACAAGTAATACATACGCAAAATCTCAACTCTGGCAGACGCTGAACCCAATGACATTTGATCTGCAGTGGCATTTGGGTGTCCTGAGTAGGTCAACTGAAGCAGAAGGAAACCTTTCTCAGAAATCATCACTTATCTAGTCCAAGATGGTGGTTTCTGAATGAGATAAAACATTTTTCTTGCATTGTAATTATTTCCATTGACATAGATATGCCCATTAAAAAAAATTACATATGATAGTTGGAGAGGACCCTATAGTCAGTCCTGCACCAGAAAGGCCAGAAGACTTTTTTGAAAGGATTTTTATATCTGAAACACAACATACTTTTCAATACAATACTTTTTTTTTTCCCAATTAAAGTTTTTTCCATTGATGGAGACTGTACCAGTCACTGCTTGATTTCGATTAAGATTACAATTTATTGCAAACCTATTGCATTTATTATTAACCTGAGCTGTAAAAACATTGGTACTAGTAATTATGAAACTTGAGAACAATGTGGGGAAAAAAAAAAAAAGAAGAGGGAAATGAAGCTCATTAAATGTCTGGTTCCCATTGATTGCCAATAGCTGCTAGTGTTAAATTAAGAGGTTATTTTATTGTCCTCTGCAGCCAACCTCAGCCATACTCCATTCAATAACCAATAATTTAGGTCTTTGAATTAATAATAATTACCAAAAAAAAGTATTCCCCATTTTCTGGCATGCTGTGTTTATTTTAGGATATTAACACAGCAATCCAAATACAACATGTAAGACTCCCTCAGGGCTTTCTGTCTCACATCCCAGACCTTCTGTTTCTTTATAAGCTCTAACAGCCACAGTTATAAGAGATATAAATAGTCTGAAGCACAGGAGAATCTCTCTTCCCTGACAGAATCTTTATTTACAAGCTGTTCAAACCTAAGCAGGTCAAATAGTCCCTTGCTGGCAGGTTAATAAGGCCCACCTGCCAAATAAACCCACCAGTGAACTCCACAGGGCCTACATAAATCCAAAAGGCTTGGACAAGAGAAAAAGATTTTCTCCTTAGGAATCACGCTGAGATGAGATGCTTACAGTTCAAAAGGGGTTCATCTTTCAAACTCCAAAGTGCGTGTCTGCCTGGTGCACACTCGTGAGTGTGCCAAAAGCTTGCAGAACACATGGCTCATACCTTTAGAAGACACCATTATTTAACATTTATATTTCAGTATTGCTTACAGGACACCAACATGCTAAGGGCTCCTGTACTGGTGGCGTACAAACATATAAGACTTTAAAGTCCCTGCCCTTGAGAGTTTTTAGAAGGCAAATATAGTTGGGTCATAAATTAAATCTTTAAAATTATTTAATGCTTGAAATACAATTAATTTGCCTACAATACCATGAAAGGGAAATGGAAGAATTGAATAACTTATTATTTAAGCTGACCTAGAAATTAATTCTCACAAGCCACAGTACATATTTAAATGAATCTTGGCTGCTATTGAAGTGGAATTCTGTTCTGGGACCTGCACTGTTCAAACACTACTCTTGAGTAGATGTTTCCCACTAACCAATGACTTCTTTACGGTGTTTCCTAAATCAGATAGGGCCAGCCCTAGCAACAGTCCCAATGTGGGCATACTCTTAGGCCTTTCCAGAGGCTTAGTCACTATGTTTATATTGCATTGTAAAAAGCACCTCCAAAGTGTCATTCAGATTTATATTTGCTGTTTGTACAGTCAGGAATCTGGTAAGTTTTGAGAGCATGCCTCGTTATTTATTAGTTTTAGAATGGCTTCAAGCAGATGAAGACAGCCAGCCACACAGCAGCAAACTGTGGTTGGGCAGCAGGAGGTGTTACCATCCCCGGCCCGAGCCTCTGAAGCAGGACCTCGTGATCCATTCATGAAGGGAGTCAGCTTACCTTCACGCACCAGGCTGGAAACCGTGTCAGGGCCCGAGCTGATTCACAAACAGATTAGATGTCACTGCCTCAGAGGTGGCAACAGCAAACGGGGAGGGAAATATACAGCTGGAGAGGCAGTGTGTGTTCGTGCAGGGGGGTGGGGATCACCAGACCAATTTTAAGTAGCCAGTGGAAGGCTGGTAAAGTTCTTTAGCATATTATAAGTCATGCATCCATAGCAGACACACAGGCAGTCTGCCGCCTGCCTGCAAAAATCCTCAGGGACACATTACAGGCAAATCAGGGAACACAAACAGTCATGCAGCTATTCTGTCCTGCAGGACTAGGATGCGCTAGGCCAGACTCCCTGCAGGTGGTGGGGGTTACAGCTGTATTAAAACACAGAGGACTGGGGCTGCAAGGAGACAACTCACATACATAACGCTAAGCACGTGCATTTGCCAGAGTGACTCCAAATAAAAGTCAAATATAAGTGTTTTACAAGTGTGCGTGAAACAAGGAACATGTAGAACGTGCCTTTAAGCTGGCATCTTGCAGCAAAGCGTTTAGTCGCACTGGAAAGACCTCTGTCAGGTCACTGGAGGCATCACTGTTTCGGGAGTCTGGTATTTCAGATGAGCTGCATTCTGGAAGCAGCGTACTTCCAGTCAAAGGCAAAAGTAGCCTTTCTAGTTCCTCTAAAGGCTCCTGGGGTAAGAGAGAAGCTGAGGCCTAGATATACAGGTTGAGCACTTGAATGGCACTCAGAATTCAGGTGTCTATGTCCTTCTTTGGACCACTGCAAACAATTTATTTTCAGACCTAGAAGATGCACATAACCTCAGCCCTTCAGCAGATACCATGTACCCAGTTGCTGTAGCAATTGCAAGAGGAGGAGTGTCTAACACACGATGGCTTGCGTCCATGGGAATGCTGCTATTATTAGCACAGCAGTACTACAACCATGCTCAGCTTCGGCGTGAGACAACAAAGTGAGTGAACGCTCATGGGGGATGCCTCCTACATGCTGGCTAAGCCCAACACCTCTTCTCCGATGAGTGCAGTCTTAATTTGAGTCACAGTTTAGTTCAGCTGGTGTAGATGCAGCTGAAACAGGGCAATGTTTCTGTACTGGATGAACTGGACGTAGATCCAGCGCTGGAGCAAGAACTGCCATGATGGGATCACTCTTGCATTTAAGGTTGAGCTGCTGACAGTGAACCGCAGTACGGCTCCCGCAGGCAGCTCAGCAGCCACCTTTCACTCCCTGCTAGGGCTTGTTCACCAAGCAAGTGTCTCATAATACGCCTGCACCGATTTGCAAAGTGTAAGCTCTGGCTCATTAACAATAACTGAAGCGAACAAATATAGCTTAGAGGAGCTAGCATATCAAGCTCAAGAACATGGTTAAATGTGCAAGAAACACATCCTACTCCCTTCAATTTTCACAGCAAAAACAGGACAGGTGATAATTTAGCAGTTCGGCCTTCATTTGCAAACCTGCCCATCCTATGGCTCAAATCCAGTTGCTTCAGCCCTTATGAAGTACACTTGCACATACTCAACAACAATATAAAACAAGTGCTAGAAATCTTATATAAATTCCCCAAACAGTTCTCAAAATTAGTGGATATTTCTGAAAATGTCTGTCAGCGAGCATTCTTCTCAAGACATATATACTGAGTGAATGGGATATGATCACAGCCACAATTTCTCAGTACAGGAAATTGCCAGCCACCAACATAATTAGAAACAGTTCATATGATCAAATTAATCATTCAAAAAAGAGCAATTACTGTTAACAGAATAATGGCATGCCTTAAAGAAGAATGAAATTAACCTTTAGGACTGACAGAGTTACCCTCACCATTCTGCATAGAGGCTGCAAAGATTAATATATGTGCAAAATAAAACATTGCATTAGAGTCTGCTGAAAACAGAAGTAGCATTATCTATCTGGCCTATTCAACCCTTAACAAACTTTATTCTTTGGCACTGGCATACAGTGGAAATATCAATAGTCACTTCTCTGCCAAAACGAAAGAAAGCCTTCGAGACTTATATTGCTGTAGAACTTAGCACTTTGCGCTTATTGCTGAACAATAATTATGTGAAGATTAAACATAAATCATAATTTGAAATGCAACAGAATTAACAGTAAAACCTATGTTGTAGATCCTCAGAAGCTGAGAATTGAGCTTCTGTCTTAACAAGCTAAAATCTAGAGACTAATACCAAATATATTCCAAAAAATTGTAATTTTGCTCTAATGCTAAATAACAGTTATGATTATGAACGCATTTTGGTATTTATACTTCTAAGTGAGATTATGTTTATAAACATAACATACTATGCAGTCAATAGAGGGAGGAGTTACTGTGTTTTGAATCCTCAAGCTTTGTATTCCCACAAACATTAGACTTATTTTACTCTGAATGTCAGCAACATTTAAAGTAAGTCATACCGATGCTGAAGATAGAGGCATAACTTCTATAGACAAGTTTATCAGTGCACTGAAGTCCCTTTTACTAGGCTGGAGCATGTTAGCTACTTAGAATTAGTATACAGCTGTTTTTTATCATCCCAACACTGGAAAACAGCAGGGATATGATCCTCAGTTTTCCTTTCTCCTGCCCTCTGCCTTCCCCTGAAGATGTAACCCACTCCCTCATGTCTTCAGCATTCCTTTTGCTTGCTCAGTGACACTTCCCTTCCTTCTGCTTAGCATAAATGATGCAAACAGAAAGAGACTATTTGTGAGAAGTGACATCTGATCCCATTATTTTCCTAACTGAAAATGTACCTGCTAAACAGATTGGTGCACAACTCATAGTAAGAAGATTCACATTTAACTGTGTATTTTCACTGACATTAAAATTTCTTACTCTGAACTGTATTTGAGCTATACAGTATAGTTGCACTTTGGATGTCTCTCATTTGGACAATTACATTAGAGATTCTTTAAGCAGATTACTTTCTTTTTCTTGAAGAATCAACTTTCAATTAAAAATACTATTACTCCATTTTATCTGAGATTTTACAAAACATACAAAAAGTCTGAAAAGCCTGTTCTTTCTCATTTTTGGCTTTATTTTAAAGAATTCTAATACACAATGCTGAAATTTTAAATTACCATTTTTATGAACTTTCATTCAGATTAATTGGCCAGTGCATTTGTAGGCTCCCAAGCATTCATTTAGTACTACAATTCCAGAATTACTATGCTACAGTTAAAGTATTTTGTAATGCTGTTTTAAGTTTTATACTTAAGTTTATATTAAGTTTTAATATAAAATATGAAGTTTCATAAAGTTTATAAAGTTGTTAATACAAGTTTATATTAAGTTTTTAATACTTAAATCTACGACAGCAGCTTGCTTTCTTTGTATTAAGCAGAATGGAGCATGTTGCCTGCCCAAAAACAAATGTATAGGAGCTGATAAAGATTTTTCTTAGCAGTCTTGATGGCACGTGGACTGACACAATGAAGGATCAGTGGCTCTGTCTATCTACACCTAACACAGCTGAGGATAGGTTCAGACAGGTTGGAAATAACCATTACTCACTGTTAATCCTAAGAAAAAACATGGACTGCTGGCTGAAGCCAGTGCTCAGGTGATGGGCTGACAGCGTGAAAGAGCAGCCATGGTGATGAGGGACAAGACTGGGAAGATCTCTCTGCATCAGTGCTACAACAAAACAGAACAGGCAGTATTAACTTTCCCAGTGCATTCACGTTTTGAAGTAGAACTACAATGCCTTCAGTGTTTAGCCTGAAGAGGTGGAAAAAGCCAGTGAAACAAAATATCTACGTTTGTGGGTTCTATATGGCCTAGTACATCCCTTATCTCACCTGCAGGACAGTAAACACTGCGGATAGGCTGTGCAGTTGGGAGGATCTGATTTACTCATCAGCTGCGCTCACTTAACTTCAGTACAACTCTACATCGCTGCCAAGATTATCTGTATCCAGAAGAATATTTACTAACTAGACACTGATGTGAAAACCTGAAACGAAAATAAAAGACTAAAAAACCCAGAAAGCAATCAGGAGAAAAATATAAACATGAAGTTCTTTCCACAAAGATCTACAATTAGATTAAGCATGCTTGCTAACTACCCCTCCATTATGTTTGACCTGTGGCAGGAGAATGGCAAAGCTTTAGCACAGGGACTGCAAATCCCCCTTATTTCGCATAGTGAGAGTTACCTCAAAATGTGCCCCATCCCCTTGTTAACAGGGCTGACCAGGCTCACAGGGGAGAGATTTTTGCACCGTTGCATGGAGTAATGCCACACACATTTGATTAGTTTCTGAGCTCTGACTAACACAGTGAAACCATGCTGACTACAATGTGGGCCTTACTTAGCCTTTCAGATGCTCCGGTCCCTGTGATGGCAACAAAAAGGATTGCCTTCCTTCTGCCTTAGAACTTCTACGTATCATAACATACGCCTAAGGTCAGGGGCACTGCCTACCATTATAGCTGAATAAATAGTGAAAATGTTCTTGGAATAATGTTTTAATTGCAAATTATCCTTCAGCCTACTAATTAATAACCTCTAAAACATTTAAATGTTTCTAGAACAATACACAACACTACATTTATTTAAATTCCTTTGAGTTGAACAGATATTGATCTTGATACTATTTGTTAATACAATATGTCCATAAAAGGTGAAATTAAAACAATCACATTTTAGATACCAAATGAAACATGACTCAATAAATGAATACTATGATCTACTCTAGCTATACATCATTTGGCTTCAATGACCTGTTCTGCTACCTAAGAAACATCAAACTGAAAAAAATACTTTCAAACTCAAAATTACTATCAAAGAGGATAAAACTCCCAAGAGGTTTGTTCTGGAAATTTAGAAACTAGAAGCAGATTAGGGGACATTTACTTCAATTATTTCAAGGCTATCACTCAAAAGTAACATACTGAGACTCTTGTTAGCACAACCTCCTTCTACACTGCACATGCAGTCGTTCACACCTGTTCAATAGAGTTTAAAACTTTTTTGAACTCAGCTTTGAAAAACATAAAATAACTATCTACTTTCAGAGAGTCAACCTCATTGGGTAATGCCATGGAAAAAAGAATTTTATTATCTTGATAGGAGCTCAAGAAAACAGTCAATTGTTTTTGAAGTTGGAAAATTGCATACACAGTTTCTCATTAAAAGGGCCTTGCCTTTCAACAAATTCGCAATAATGTCTAAGTATAGTCTGAAACGGTGCCTTTCCAGTTAACATCTTTCACTTTCCAACATAAGCTTCACTGTACATTTGCATGGTGGGTCTATTAGGATGTAATTAGGTGGTTGCAAATCTTAATAGCGCAGACAAGGCCAATGATCTATACGAGCTGAAAGGAGTAAGAAAGATTTGTTGTCACCTTGACCATGATAGCAAAATCCTTCCACTTAAATCTTAAACAACTGACAGAGAAGACAAACATGAAAACCGCAATATCTGGAGGATCTTATACATTACTAGTAAGGACAGAATTAAAAAAAATAAATTAAAAATCGAGATAGTTAATAAACCCGAGCACAGAATTTGTTGCAGAGAGTAGATAGTGCATTTGAAGTATATCAGTTACTGGTAACTAACCTGGTTCCTTACATAAATAATCTTCTGCAGAAAACAGCAAGAACCCCTGAAAACATAACATGCTTCATACTTTCAGTTTGTTTGTTTGTTTTCTCCTTACATTGTTGCTCAACTGTGGAAGAAAAGCACTCCTATATATGCCATTATGTAGCAAAACTGCAGGATCCGCATACTTGTACATCTATTAATTTGTGTTGATACTGTGCCTCTATCTTTAATTAGAAAACATTTTTTCTGTAAACACATAACTGATCTTGAAAAAAATGGAAACTAGAAATTTGTCACAATGTTTATTTCAAATTAACTATTTTACAATGTAACAGCTCTACATTTTTCTTTAATGCTGTAAAAACTGACATTCAGAAGCTAAATCTCACATTCCTAACATCTTTACGTGTTTTTTGTTTTTTTTTAAATAGAAAGGTGGAAAAACAAGTCCAAGTACCTTTATCACTAGAGATAGATTTCCTTCAGCCACTTTGAGATTAAAGTTTTAATCAGCCCCTGATTAAGTTTCTCATTACTAAGTAATTAGCACCAAGTGCAAACCGTTCAACTGTTAACTGCTGTTTGGGGGAAGTTGCACCCCCCTTAAACCCATGGCAAAGACCCCCACAGACCATGACCTCTACCAGTAAGGACTGGACAGGGTGGCTCGAGGATTTCCATAGCAGATGGGACAACGGCGAGGATGGATGGTGCTGGGGTGCTGCCCTGCTCCATTACCTCCTGGTCACCTTTTGGGGTGAGCCAGGCCTCGCAGCACCCACAGGCGATGTCCTTTAGCCCTGGCCAACGTTCCCCAATCCTTTCTCAGCCCCTTAAGGCTCAGAGGGGTTTGCTGTTACCTGCTTTGCATTACCCGCTGCGACAGCTCATGGGAATATTTGTTCCTATCAGAGCATGACAGATATTTAACGATTTGGCCTGAAAAATAGCTGTGCTTCCAATTGGCAAATTGCAAGCACATGTACTTATTTTGATGCGAGCGAGAACAAATAAACCAGGCCCTGCTTCCCGAGGAAGACAGCCCCGGTAATTCGCAGCCAGGCGCGTTTCGGTCCTCACAAACCATCCCAGAGCCTCGGGATCATGTGCAGCGGTGGGGAAAGTCAAAACATTTGGCTTAGATCAGGGCTTTATTTCAGAAGAGCGCACATGTGCTGGGTGAGGAGGGCACGGTTACCAGACGCCCCCGCGTAGAAGGCTGAGAGAGGGGGAAAAAAAATAAAAAGATAAAGAGGTAAAAAAGAACATAATATAATAAAATATGAGGAAAAAGGTGATAAAAAACGCGCTGTCGCCCACCTGGGACCCCCCCTCACCACACACACGCACACCCTCGAGGGCCCCACACAGCTCCCGCCTTCAGCCTCCCCGCCCGCCCTCCCCTGGGTCCGCCACCGCCGCCGGCCCTGTCAGAGCGGGCGGGCGGGCGGCCCGCGCGCCGCTCCCGCAGCCCCGCGCTGCTGCTGCTGCTGCTGCCGGCACCGTTGCTGCTGCTGCCGCCGCTTCTACCGCTGGCACTGCTGGCGCTGCTCCCGGCCGCGCGTGCGGGCGGCTCCGTGCGGGGGGATTTGAAACAGCCGCTCCGGGGGCAGCGCAGCGGCGGCGCCCAATCAGCGGCCGGGATTTTTCGCGCTGGTTCTGGCCGGAGGAGGGGGCGGGGCCGCCGCGCAGGAGCCGCCGCCGCCGTTGCCGTGTCCGCGTCCCTTCGGCTCCCGCCGCCGCCGCCGTCTCCTCCTCCTCCTCCTCTTCCTCCTCCTCCTCCTCACAGCTCCCCCGGCGCCCAGCTCCCGCCGCCGCCGCCGCCTCACGCCCGGCTCCCCGGGGGGAGAACGATGCGCTAGGGCACAGGTCAGTGAGCCGCCGCCGGGCTGCTTTGCTCTCCCCCTTTCCCCTCAGAGGGAGGCACCGGGGCACGTTCCCGCAAGGCCCCGCGGGCGGGAGGCGGGAGCGGGGTGGCGGCTGTGGCGGCGGCTCTGGTGGTGGTGGCTCCGGTGGTGGCTCCGTCGCCCTCCGGGATGTCGCCGCCTCGCCTGGCCGCGGGCTGGGGCTGAGGGCGCTGCCCCGGCCCCCCCTGAGGGAGGCGGTGGTGTGGTGGTGGTGTGGGGCCGGGGTCTCTCCTCACAGGAGGTGCCCCCCCCCCCCCCCCCCTCGGTTTACCCGCCCCTAACCGGGCACCTCCCGTTTCCCCTTTTGATTTTCCTGAGAGGAGGGGTTTTTGTGTTATTTTTTTTAATTATTTATTTTTATGGGTTTGTGTTGTGCCCCCACCCCCCCCCCCCCCCCCCCCCCCCCCCACCCCAAGCCTGCGCTCCCCCCTCAGCCACCACCGCTACCTGCCCCTCGCTGAGGGGCCGCCGTCCCCTTCACCCCCAACCCCCCCTAAATCCCTCCAACCACCCCAAATCCCCTCCCCAACCCCCCCAATACCTCCCCACCCCCTCCAGCTCCCCCTTTTCCCCTTTAACCCCTCCCTCATCCCCCCCAAACCCCGTCCCACCCCCCCCCCAGCCTGCCGCAGGAGCCGTGCCTCGGGGGGGGCGATGCCGAGCCGGAGTCCCGGCTGTTGCAGCTTCATCCTTTTCCCCCCCCTCTTCTCCTCGCCTTCCTCCTCCTCCTCGTCCTCCTCCTGGGCTCTGCGGGAGGCCGGGGGCAGCATAAAGGGGTGAGGGAGCGCTGCACCCCCCCCCCAGGAGCTGGAGGTGGGGGGGGGGGTTAATCAGTGCAAAGCAGAAAGAGAAACGCAAAAGCAAGAGGGGGGGGGAAGCCGATGAAGGGGAGGGAAAAAAAAAAAAAAAAAACACCCCTAAAAACCCTCCCCTGGGATTTAAATCTTCCCCCCCGTCAGGGAGGGGAGCAGCCAGGGTCACCCCCCCACCCCATGGCATGGGGGTTTGGGGAGGTGGGGGCTGCTCCTGCCCCTTCGCTGCGGGTGGGAGTGGGATTGCACGGCAGCAGGAGTGAATGTAACTCTGGAAATGTATGGAGGGGGAAGCCATGTTTGATTTATTCCTCCACTAAACACTGGTGTGATGATCCTTCCACTTACACCCTCCTGCGCTCCATCCTGGACCGGTACCGGAGGAGAGGCTCGCTAGGAAAACGGGAAGAAAACCTTCCTGCGAAGGCTGTGGGGCTGCCTGGCTCGATCTGCATTAAGGAGGAGAGGATAGGGCTCTTGCAACTTGAATTGATATTTGTGTGGTAAAAGAGCCTGG